GGGAGGGGGAGAGAGAGAGGGAGAAAGGGAGGGGGAGAGAGAGAGGGAGGGAGAGAGAGACAGAGAGGGGGGAGAAAGGGAGAGGGAGCGAGGGAGAGAGAGAGAGAGGGAGAGAGAGAGAGAGAGAGAGACCTGGTCCAAAGTCAGCCAGCAGATTTTCATGGCTAACGGGGGAACTAGAACTCACGGCCACCTGATTTCTAGCCTGGCACCACTAGACCAGGGGTATCAACTTGATTACATTGTGGGCAGCATCAGGGTTGTGTTTGACCTGGGGGCCTGGGTATGTATGTGCCCAGGGTGTGTGTGTGTTGCCAGGGTGGGCATGGCCAGCTCGACGTCACCTGTCAAGGCTCTGTTTTAGGCCACAATGGCCTCCTCTGCCCGCAAAAAGGAGCTTCCCTGGGCTCCATTTTCATTGGCAGAGGGCTGCAGGAGAACGTTGTGGCCAAAAACGGAGCCCGGGGGGGCTGAGCAGAGCACGCTCCTCCCAAGCTCAGTTTTTGCTGGCAGAGGGACTGTGGGCCTGTACTTTGCTGTTTATAGGGCAGCCCCGGGGGGGGGGGGATCTGGGCCCCTGCCCTTTAGTTTGACACCCCTGCATTAGACCAAACTAGTTCACTTTAAGATATTTAGCGACTGATCCCAGGAAATAATGGTTCCAATTTTCCCCTCCCATCACTGCACCCCTAATTTTTAGAATGTGCTGCAGCATATGAACAGATAATAGCCAAAGTTTTCTTTTCTACAGGGAAATGATCAGTATTATCGGAAGAGTTCCCTTATTGACTATGACTTGCCCCTGATTAACTGCAGAGAAATCACTCGGGCACAGGTATTCCACTTTCCCCTTATGGCTTTGTCTGAAGGGCTCTTTCCTTCTTTCTTGGTGTGTTTTGGTGATGAAAACAGGATTTGGGAAAGTGATTCACTGTAATGGAACATCTACGTGGGGAAATTGCAGAGGGGGGAAACAGACAAGCGACACTAAGACTAAAGAGGTCCAATTTCTGCAGCCAAGATGAGAGGCTCAGGAGGGGAGCTTTCACTCAGGCAACACAGTGATGGTGAACCTATGACACGCGTGCCAGCTGATTTTCGGGGAGCCACTTTTTCACCCTCCCAAGTCTTCAGGAAAGCATCCAGAGCTTGAGGACTGCAAAAACTCCCCTCCCCCCCCATGCATGGGGGAGCGTGCATGTATGCGTGGGTGGATGGTCACAGATGCACACATGATAGTACGTGCGTGTGCACAATTTGGCACACCTTTAGAAAAAGGTTAGCCATCACTGCAGTACAGCATTCACCCACATATATATCTCTCTTTTTGGACCTGGCAGGATTTGGAAGCTTATTAATAAGTTTACCCACATTTCCCTTTTCAGAGTATACATATATAAGAATTTCATTCCACCCCTCTTTTTTTTCAACAGGATGACTGGGATGTGGAAGAATTCATCTCAAAAACCTGCATGTCCAGGTTCCTGCATCATTCCTCTATCAAGATTTTGATAGCATGTGTCATAATTGGCAACGCCATCGTCATTGCTCTCCGAACGGAGCCAACACTTGAAAATGTTGGTATACCATTTCTAGCAGGAGAACTGATTCCTGCTAAAATGTGGGGGTGGGCAAAGACCCCCTGCTTCTCCAGGGACTGTCCTGTGCCTTCCGATGATCTCTGGGCTGCATAAACCTCTCCCTCCCCTAGCCCTATTTTGGGGGCCATGAATGATACAGACTACTCAGCGCTGCTGAGAGTTTGCATTTTTTTGTGAAGACTAAACATAGGTAACCTAAACCGCCTCGAGACTTAACATGCTTATTTTGATTTAAAAAAAAGAAGTTCTCTATAACAAGGATGTCAAACTCGATTTCATTGAGGGCTGCATCAGGGTTGTGTTTAACCTCAGGGGGCTGGGGTGGGCGTGGTCAGGGTGGGCGTGGCCAGCTTGACATCACTCATATTGGGGCTGCCTATATAGGCCCGAGTGGTCTGCCAGCGAAAATGGGATCCCGAGCTCTGTTTTCACTGGCAGAGGCACCGCGGGCCAGTCCTTCACTGCTTGCAGGATGGTCCCACAGGCCAGATGTAGCATCCTGTGGGCCGGATTTGGCCCCTGGGTCTTGAGTTTGACACCCCTGCTCTATAACTTTCTCAAAGTAATAATGCAGCAAAAAAACAAAAAAACATGGATCCCATGAGCTGGAAGAAAATCTTATGCACTGCCACCCTTACAGGCTGTTAAGAAATGGGCTCATTATCTGTAAAAATAGTGCCCATTCCTGCAAGAAGGAAATTAAGGGATGGACCTGACTAATTAGTTGACCCCAGCTCCTCCCTGCATTTGCGGCTTCTCCTCTGCCCATCTTTTAATTCATATTATTGTACTCTCTTTGTGTATTTGTACTGTTTCAATGCTTTGCTATTGTTATGTTTACATTTCTTAATCCCCCCCCCCCATTTTACTGTTTTAAGACCCCTAACAGAATGGGATAATTCATCAGCGCCAGCCTGGTGGGGTCAGCATATCACCACCACTAAGTCACCTCTGTCGACTCCACCACTGCCAAGTCGCTGCAAGACAACTCCACACAGCCAACTGGCTCTAGGACAACTCGCCACGGGCAGCCCAGAACTCAATATGACAGTGGCGGTGTGTGTGAAAATGGGTAGGCCCTGCCCGCCATTGCCACTCTGTGTTTTGCCCACCCGCCCTCTTACTGCCCGCCTGGCTCTCCCTTCGGCTGCCCACAGTGAGTTTTCCCTGTGGTGAGTTGGTCATGTGGAGGGACTTGGTGGTGGTGAGCTGGCCATGTTGAGTTGTCCTCAGCCCTTGAGATGGGTGGCATAATAATAAATAATAAATTTAGCTAAGGGTAAAGGTTCCCCTCGCACATATATGCTAGTCATTCCCGACTCTAGGGGGCAATCCTCATCTCCGTTTCAAAGCTGAAGAGCCAGCGCTGTCCAAAGATGTCTCCGTGGTCATGTGGCCGGCATGACTAAACGCCGAAGGCGCATGGAACGCTTTCACCTTCCCACCAAAGGTGTTACCTGTTTTTCTACTTGCATTTTTACCTGCTTTCGAACTGCTAGGTTGGCAGAAGCTGGGAAAAGTAATGGGAGCTCACTCCGTTATGCGGTGCTAGGGATTCGAACCGCCGAACTGGTGTCCTTTCTGATCGGCAAACTCAGTGTCTTAGCCCCTGAGCCACCATGTCCTGGCTAATAAATGTAGCAATGAAATAAATAATCAGCCCACTGATTCTTTCTTGGACTCATTAGTATGCATGCAGAGGTAAGCATTATTACGCAAATGAGGTCAATACCCAAACATTAAAGGCCAAGTATGAGAACTTTCAGGGGGAAAAAAAAGTTATGAAAATGGAGGCATGCAAATCTCTTTTTGTTTTTGTTTTTCTCGCATAGAATTACTTTGGCTTATTCAATACCATTGACACAATTGTTCTGTCTTTTCTGATCTGTGAGGTCATGCTCAACTGGTACTATGGATTCAATTTGTACTGGAAGGTGAGTGGGCCAAATCTTGTGCCTTAAAGTTTAGTCCAAAGCAACTACATCCAGGCATTGAAACTTCGTGCAAACAGATATGTACAGGCCAGCGGTGGGATTCATTTTTATTTTTTATTTTTTGCTACCAATTCTGTGGGTGGCCTGGCTTGGCTTGATGGGTCTGGCTTGATGGGCGTGGCAGGGGAAGGATATGGCAAAATCTCCATTTCCACCCCACACAACTAACCTGGAAGATTTTTTTTAGTTGATCAATTTTTTATTGTTTTTCCCCTCTATAACATCTTACAATCATCACATTAAAATTGTTGTGTCATCATACCTGTATATATCAATCTTACATCGCTTCTATATTTATATACATTCATTGAGGGAGCCGAGGTGGCACAGTGGTTAGAGTGCAGCACTGCAGGCTACTTCAGCTGACTGTAGTTCTGCAGTTCGGCTGTTCAAATCTCACCGGCTCAAGGCATTTAGAAGGAATGGTGGTTGTGCTGTAACCCACATCTGATTGATGTCTGGAGTCTCGGTGCAGAGAAGGAAAATTCTTCATATTTACTAGCCTCCTGGGCATAAGCACAGAATGAATCCACTCACCTGAGATCTTCTTAGAGAGATCTCCTTCCATCTAGATCCCTGATGCTGGATTACTTCTGCCTTCCTTCTAATTTGGATCTGAAATCCCCAAATTCGCCTTACTTGGACTACAGAATTCGGAGAAGCATCATCCTTCCATATACCTAACCTTCACTTCCTTGCCTCTCAAGGTTTTGTTCTCTGCCCTCAACAGGATGGCTGGAATATCATCAATTTTTGTATTGTGACATACCTATGCCTTGGCTTGTACATTTCTGCATTGGAGAATCAGACTCTTTTTCGAATGGTCAGGTAAGGACCTAAAATAAAAAGGTAAGATGATCCGAGGTGGCGCAGTGGTTAAATGCAGCACTGCAGGCTACTTCAGCTGACTGCAGTTCTGCTGTTCAAATCTCACCAGGCTCAAAGTTGACTCAGCCTTCCATCCTTCCGAGGTGGGTAAAATGAGGACCCGGATTGTTGTTGGGGGCAATATG